TGATGTTACGACTTCAAAGAATTTTTCTGGTACTGTGAATCATTGCATGAACTTATCTTCTGGCGCTCATTTGCAGGGAATCGTTGTGAAAATCATGACCAAAAAACTTGGAGAAAAATACTACAAAAAGAAAGGAACAATAAAGGTATGAATCTAAAATACTGTTCGTTACAGTCTAATTTAAACGAATGTTCTTTATGGACTGAATGCGTTTTTACAAGGGCGATCTTACCGTCTCCACCCTGAAACTACCGAAAGTATTGGTCACATAGCCACTTATTACAATTCTTCAACCAGTAAGAATAGACAAACAAACTAGCAAGAGGTTATTATCTTTATAGAAAACCAGATTCTCATAGAGCTGCCATCGTCTGCAGCCGCCGTCGCCGCCTAATTTTCAACATCATCAAGAACTTTGTCACATTTAATTAGTTGATTGTTCCCAGCCTTCCTGTTTTTACCGCAGGACATTAAGAATCTGTTTGTAGCCGTGATAAAGATGTCAGATGGCGGAGATGTTCTCAAAGTGGATCAGGAACACTTGGAAACAGTCATACCAGCCATAGGTACTGTTGCTTCAATAACTTGACCGGTATCCGTTCTGTAGGGGAGATGTCTGCAATAATGTTAAGGTCTCGAGGTGCTCAGGAGAAATGGGAACGAGTGTTGGTGGTAAGCACACGACGAAAAGACTGACGGGAAGTCGGCTTTTCCCACGCGCCTCCCCATGAAGGGATTGGGGAAGAGTTAGTAATATATTCGGAAATAAAGTTATTAATTCTCAGACTAATTCCTGATTACCAGCTGAAGAAGCTATAGACGACGCACACCAGCAATAGGTTTTCACTTCGATTTAATGTCTCACCATAGTTACGTAATTGCCAATGTGGTTTCTAAATAGATGAATAAAATAAAATTACTCGGGGAAATCGAACACAAGGAAGCATAAACTAATAAGCAAACACAACTAGAATAAAGAACGTACCAGACGTGACGGGATAAGGGCCGTAGAAGCGAAACTTGACAGCGAAACTTGACTGACAACGGACAACTGATAACTAACTCGAACAATGTGACTCGCAGACTGAATAATAAATTAGCATGCAGAGCGCGAAATAACTAATGTTGACGAGGCGGCCTGGGTCGAGGGATGGTTTTTACAGAAGCCTTAGATTGATGAACAAATTCTCCTTGTCAGAGCCCTAAGAAGTGTTTAGGGAGTTGTATGGAGAATATGCATACTGATGTAAGGGAGTGAAGGGTTAAGGTCAGGTGTACTCTAAGCTTTATTTGAGTGGTGTTGTTTGTTTTCGTTCTTTATTACACTGATTCTTAATGGAATTCTGTTAATTTGAGTAACGTTAGGGAAATAAAAACTGTTGTTTCTTGACGTGTATGGTTTTGGAGGTATTAATTGCATTTATTTTATTTCCAGGAAAGGCTGTCTTAATTGTAAACGGTGCCTACAGAGGAGCAAGAGCTTCGCTTGTGTCCTTGGATGAAAAGACCTTCTCTGTAGCCGTAGAGTTGAAAGATGTAAGCTAAAAAAGATTTGGTTGGTCAAATTGACTCACTGTTAAGTGTTTTATCTATTAGTGATTAGTTGAGCATCAACATGCTGTATAGACCAGTTGTTATTTCATTATCTTGACGCCTGAATCAAGTTTGTTTCATGGCCCATTCTTAGCGATGGAGAAATCTCTTCAGACCAAGTAGAGCTTAAAAGTACGCAGAAGCAAACGATCTCCAGGGGTGGAAAACACAAATGATCAAGTACTAATTGGTTTTGATTCGGAAATGTTTTTTGACAAGGAAAAAAGAACTTCAGTTCGCTTTTCTTGGTGGAAAAATTCACGTACACGTCGGATACCTATTTCTTTGTTTTTTTCGTTTCCCCACAGGGACCCCACCGAGGGAAGAGAATTGACAGGATCCCGTATGAAGACATCTGTAAGGTTGACACGTGACAGCAAGTCCCAGAGTCACATCTTTGGTCGCGAAAAAATGGGAATGTCAGCGCTGAGACGTGGGAAAAACCACACAGGATAGTTAATGCTACTTTGTCATACTCAACAAATATATCCAAGGAAAAGTGTTTCAGCAATCCTCGAGAAAACGTTTGCCACAGTATTTTACAACTTGCGTCCACAAAGCCACTAAGCCATGAAGCCATTTTCTTTTTTGGGTAAAAATTTGTTTGTAGAAATATTGTAAACATATTACGTCTTTTTTTTTTTTTCCATGAAATAGTAATAAAAAGGAATTAATGAGTATAGCGTAGATGTGATTTTGTGTTTGGCTGTGCATGTCAAAATATTCCCCCTCTCCTACCTTGCAGTATTTTTTTTTTATTACTGATTGTGAGGCTCACGGAACTATTTGCATTGCAAATATGGTATTCGCTCTAGTTTTGTCAGGATCTTTCCACGTGTTGCTCAGAAATCTGCTTTATGGATTGGTTTGAAGTAAGTTACGCCGTAGAATACAGTTTTTGGTTTTGGTTGCCTGAAACGACCCCGAACGTCAGGCAATTGAAGCAAACATGTTAGGTGGTCTTGAATGACGGTTTGTGGTGAGTAACAGCCTCCGCACGTGGTTTACGACCAGTAACCCCAGTCAACTAAGTGAAGCTGTGAACTGGCAGGATTTTGGTCACTTTTGAGCACGGGTAAGTTATCTATATTCGTTATATACGCAAGGTTTAGTTAGCAGCAATTTTGTATGCTTTGAGAGAGCTTCGTTTATGACAGGTATAATTTAACGAATATTTCGTCTTTCCATTGTTATATTTGTTTCTCTATTGTAATAAACAAACGCGAGAATGAAATTTGCTACCGACGGGAAAAGTATTTCAAAATTTCTTCAATACCCAACTAATGATTAACTTGTAAGATTAGCCGGGATCGCCCTAACAAATCAACAAGATTATGTAAAGGGTTGTTAGCGAGCTTTAGTGAGCGTTTTTTATACCCTAGAACTTACAAAATTAATTTAGGTGTATAGTTCGAGTATTCGAAGTATTCGACTGGATGATGGGTTAGATGACAATTAGGCACAGTTTTAGATCTATAATATATTTTTGGAACAACTACTTGTCTGGGCGCGGTAGTATCTTCCATGTATATGAGAGGTAGGTGATCGTCGTAAATACTTGGAAATTCTGTTGCAATTAAAGCCTAAAATGGCCAGTATCAGGCGATCATGAACCTTTTTTCGGTTTTTTGAAGCCAGTCAAAAATATCCAAAGAATTGCTTGTCTTCGTTAAATTTCTTAGAGGAGCTTGTCTCTCTCAGTTAAATTTCATTTTACACTGTTATAATGTTTACGCACCTTTCACTAGTATAGCAATGAGGGATCATGAAACAGGCTTTATAAGGAGTTATGGAGAAAAATGCACTATATGCAGATTAGTTAAAAACTGTTTTTATGTGGTCTGGATTTTTCGGAATTCGGTTCCCGCTAAACCGTGGGTGTATTTAACTTTTCTTAGTATTTGAGGACATTCTCATGAAAATTTTATGTCTCATCCTTTCTCGTCATTTCTCTACCTTCTGACGAAGGTGAATTAGTCGTACAAAAAAAAATAAAGAAAAGCAACGAAAAAGAAAAAAATTGAAGTGTTGAGCGAATCTTTCAAGAACATCCCTAAATAGTGTCTCGTATAGGGAGATAAATCCTATCTGACCATTGTAAATGATGTCAGAAACCAGTGCTAGTAGTGTGTTTAATGTATTTTAGGGCACAAATCCTTTGATTCTGTACATTTTTTCTGGTAAGCAACGTGCAATGAAAAGAAAAAACAAAATCCTAGCTCAGAAGAACCTGTAGAATTTTAAAGGGAATAAAAGGTTTTTCAGATTTCCTTTATTTCTGATGTACAATTTCATGTATTGTATGTCTCTTACAGGTGATTCAATCATTTCCTTTTCTTCCAGGTTTGAAAGATGTTCCAAGAAGATTGAAGAAGTTTATTGACTGAAATAAAGTTTTATCAAACACCTCTTGTGTAGTACGTGGTGAAGATGCACGCACACGCATAGGAAGTGATGTTTGCAAGAAAACTATCGATCAAAGAGTCTACGCGATTTAAAGGGCCTACCGCAATTCTGCGAACAAAATTTCTTTCTCGGAGAATGTCTTCAGCGATGAAAAATGAGCGCCAAAAAAACTAAGTCTTTTGGCGGCAAAATTGTCCATAGAAAAAAAAAAGTCTGCGGTTTTGAATTGTGCTTCAGTTGAGCAAAAAATATACAAGTCTTTTGGCGAGAAAAAATCTTGCATTGTGCCGTTTCTTTTCTCCTATCAAACGTCACGTATATATTTTGTATTAACACTAGAACCCGTTCAAATCCGTAGAATTTTTTTTCCTCTCGGCAACCCTCCATACGCAAAAAAAAGTAAAAGAGAGCCTACAATTTGACTTGTTACCAGGCCCTTTTCACAGCGCCAAATTTTTTCTTTGTTTTGGCTTATTTTAAACTCAAGACATTAAAGAGACCATGTATTTGAAAACACAAATTTTATTTGCCTTTAAGTCTATTTACTAAGTACAAGTATGTACTAACAAGTGAAAATGTCGGTAAGCATAACTGAACACCCAAAGAGTAAGTCTAACTTTATCGCTACTAACTAAGCGAATTTTGATTAAGACTGTAATTGTCTCGAGAAAATTTATAAAATTGAATTTTAAGAATGATCATTAATAAGTCTCATATCTGCGGAAAATTGTGGACATCTTATGAAAATAGAAAGTGCAAACTTACTCAAAATAAATTTATGAATGCGATTGTCTGATAAATGTACTTAAGACTAGAAAGTAGTTGTTTTGTTTTGTTTTTAACTAATCGTACTTCCTTGAGCCGATAGTAATTGACTTAAGATCAAAAATTTGCTCCTGCAAGGTACTTCAAGTAATCTAAGGGTAAACTTATTAACGATCACTGAAAATGTGCCTTTTAAAAACAGTTGGCGAACTTAAAGTATGAAAGAATTTTCCTAAAACCTGTAATTTCAAACTACTTAATAAACAGATTTACGTTTTAAAATCCAAAACTTTTCCTGACGAGACTTTTCCTGCACTAGACAATTATGTAATGACGAACTTAGGTCTTATAGTGTTTTGTTTTCAAGACAAATTACTAAATCTGTTCAATGAAAAATTCATGACTATTTACTGAAAGCATAGCTAGCACTACATGTTACAGTTTTTACCTCTTACGATAAATTTCCAAACGTGTTTCTTGAACATCTGGGTTTTCTCTAGTTTAACCTTGTGTCCTCACTTCATTCTTGGGTCCAAATTAGCGAGGAACGTGTACTGAAAGAACTGAAAGAAAACAAAATAACATGTTACTATGACACATCAAAGCTTTCTCAGGTGTAAAATATTGGAAATGTGCCATCTTTACTCGGGACTAGATTGTGCAAAGTCATTAGTCTTTAGTATAACTGCTACGCTCGATTGGTCGAGGATTACGTGACCACCTCGCGCGAGCTGATTACGGCAAGGGGCGCTAAAGTTCATAATTGTTGCCTCGCGTTTTGTCGATGGAAGTGATAAACGCGATAGGAGCAAATTTAATTTCGAAGAAAAAAAAGATGGTATCAAGTTTGGCGTAACAGAAAGATATTAAATTTTAACTGTTTGAATCAAATAAAGCAGTGAAATTTTAGTGGAAAGTGGCTCTTTATCTCGATACGACTAAAAAATTGAAACAGGATGGTTTCAGCATCAAAAAAAATTCAAAAGCGCCTAAGCATTTATAATAAAAAAAATTCGCCCTCAGGTTCAGGGAATATTGTTGAATAAACCCCTCGACTTCGTCTCGAGGATTATTCAACAATATTCACTGAGCCTGAGGCACATCATTATTAAATGACATCTATTATAACTATAAACGTCTTCATCGACCACATATCTAGACTGCGTTGTGACATCTTTTTAACTACTCTGTGGGCAGCTTTGGTACCATTCGTTATTATTACATCACTAGGGGTAGGGTGAGAATTTTGGGGGGGCTCGCATGATTTACAGGGGGAATGGAGGGGGAACAGTCGTTGCTTATAGAGTATAAAGGAAGAACGATAGAAAATTGACTGCCATTTAACTGCCGACGAAGGAGATCATAAGATTTAAACAGAGCCTTATAGAGGACCAGGGATCAGGTAAATTTTATCGTGACAACCGAATTTCTCCAGCCCCCTCGGGTGATAAATAGTGATCAGTTCCATTAAAATGATTATTTTTTTATATGTTCATGTCTTAATCAGTGGAACTATTTCTTTGGAGCTGACACAAAATATCACGGTCGATTATATTTTAGCTGCCCATCTCAAGACAAATGCACTAACTTGTGGCTCCTATGTAATTTACCTGCATCAATTCAAATAAGCCTTGAAAACTCAATCGTCTCTAATAGCGAAATTCTCTGGCTTTTTATTATGTTTTTAAAAACCTTAATGGTATTTCTCGATTGGTTTGTATTGATCATCTGTACGTGTTCCTGAGCTGACGACAAACAACTTTGAGCATTTTAAACATTGTTAAAAAACTTTTTTTTTAACTTTTTCTCATTAATCGAAATTCTTATTCGTCAACGATGCCAATTTCTCTTTTATTTCAGAACTCCGTGAATTTCAAATTAAAACAAAGGGTGCCTAAACAGCATGCAAATATTTCAAAATAGTTAAGCAAATAAAACATCTGATAAAATTAATCACAGTAGTTATCAATCTGTTCGACAACGACTAAATATCACACGCTAATGCATTCTCTGTGCTTTATTTATCACTTTCGTAAAAAATATAGTTTCTTCACTTTTATTTTTCTTTGGGGGGGGGGGGGGGTTAACGTCATTAAGATGCAAATAAAATTCCCCGATGAGCGCCGATTCTGTAAACATTCCAATCATTCTTGCGTCGTGACTGAGTTTCACAAAAAATTTGTCCTATGAGAGTTAAAACTATCTGGTTACAAGTTACACACATATTCCGATGCAAAAAGGTGCCAGGTAATATTTAATCAATCTCACAACGATGGTTAGAATATTTGACAAAAATATTTCTTAACTTCTCCTTCCGTTTCTCCTTAACACAAGTAATAAGGAATGTTGCGATCTGACTATGATTTTCAACGAAAATTGAAATGAATTTTTTGCGTGAAAATTACCAAGATTTACACACAGCCTCATACTTCATTAGGCATTCAATTCTTGGATGAAGAAAACATTTG